ACTAACATCCTGTATATATACTCGTACTCATACATACTCGTCTCGTAATTTTAGTGCCACTCCGCATTGCATGAATATCGACGCCACATTAAATGACACTAAGGTGAGGTGTACGGATTCCAGTTCAGTTGAACATAGTGAGTGTTTGGAATGCGAAATCTAGTGCGTAGTACATATATATCAATACGGTTAGCATATGAGATTACGATGTGTTTGGTCACATTGAGGTTTTGTAACGTTGCATGTCATGAATGGAACGTATTAATATCTGCTAAATGTTGTATTGAGGGTTAATAATCGTACTGTCCACCACCACTGTGTACCAGATGTCGCTAGTTGGTACTAAGGTGAACTTATTTATTACGCTGTTAGTCAGACAGTGTCATTATCGTGAAAAATTTTGCTTTTTTATTATAACTTTTGGTTTCTTGTCTATACTTGCAGTGCTGTAATCTTTATTTTTTACACTTATTAACTTTATTAGTATGTTAGGGCTGAATCTGAGTGACCGGGTCAGAAACTGTGTGATAAAAGAAGAGTGTGGTTTGCAAGATGATGCGGTGACCAGGATTAAGAAAGAAATGCTTCGTTGGTTTGGTCATGAAGAAAGAATAAATGAGGAAAGACTGACAAAGTAAATATATGTTGTAGAAGTGAATGGAAGAGTCGGAAAGGGACCTCCTAGGCGAAAGTTTGTCGACCAAAGTTAGACCGCGCAAAAGAGTATACTAATATTTAGAGGGACGCCTTAGAACCAAAGAGTATATGATCACTAAGTTTACTCGAAACCATAGATAAGATTATAAATAACATTTAAAAATAATTATATTGTTATATAGTTCACATATAAACTTAAAAACTTGGTAATATTAAATTGCTGATAGACACGCTCTACTTAAAAAATTATATGCGTGTTATGATATTCAGTGGAATCTCTATAACTCGAACCTCGTTAAGTTGAAATCCTCAGTAAGTCGAAAAAAATTGCCATTCCCTTCCGCTGAACCCCTAAATACGCGGCATCTCGAATTATTAGACTTTGTAACTCGAAGAAAATGTTATTTCCCTACGAAATATTGATAATAGATATTTATACTCTATAACTCGAATTTCAAAAATGAGACTCCGTAAGTCGTAGTTAGTAAACAATAATGACGTCTTACTTGAAATTCCTCGAAATAATAGCAATAAAATCCGGGTTCTTAATCATAAAGTAGCTGCCGCGTCACCTGCCGAGCGTCGGCCGAGCTCGGCGGGTGACGCTGGCAGCTATGCGTGACATGAAACGTCCTATAACTCAAAAAGTATGAATGTTAGAAAAAAAGTTTCAAACAAAAGTTTTGGAAAATAAACTGATCTTTCAAAATAAATTTATGCATTTTATTGATTAATCTAATATTTCAAGAGTTATTGGCCGCGATAGAAAAACCTGTTCATTAAATGGGCCATAAATCGTAAACGGTAAGTTTAACAAAAAAAGTTTGCTGGAAACAATGGATGCGAAATTTTATTTTCTACAATAATTGTTTCTATAACTTTTGCCTTAAAGTGCATTGTTTCCGAGATATCGGCTGAAAACGTTGTTTCAAGATGGCGTTTGAAGCGCCACCTGTTCATTAAATGGACCATAAATCGTAAACGGTAAGTTTTACAAAAAAGTTTGCTGGAAACAATAGACGCGAAATTTTGTGATTTTATACTGAATAAGTGATCCTAAACCTCATAAAAAAATAAAATTGAATCAGAAATTTCGTGCAATGTCAAATTCTATTTTTACTGTACTATTTTATTAAACATTTTATTTGTCAACAACGTCTTACAATCATTTCTCTAGCGCTCACATGTTCTTCATACAAATAATTCGATATTTTAATTGTTGATAATTTTTATTTTTGGATAAGAACATGGTAATGACTCTAAGTTATATTTAGCTTCATTTAAAAAAATTGTCTTTGGCCAAACCTACTATACTCTTTGGCTTGATCATAGGTCAGACCAATAGGTCCATAGACTTACGGATATCACGAGTGGTTAAAAATGGGCCAAGTTAAGAGTACTCTTAACTAGTGATGCGACGGAAGTGTCATATCGGAAGCAGAAATGGAAACAGATGTCTGCAAAAAATACTGGAAACTCTTCGGTGTGTATCGCTTTAAGATGGATCTTTAAAGCGGTAGTTGTGCGTTCTTTTCGCTATATTTTGTCACATAATTTTCATCTGGCTGCTAAATCATCAATCTCAACGTAATAGTAACAGGACTCTTTTTTGGCTTCATTATTGCGCTTAAATTACACACACAACTAAAATTACTAATTAACTAAAAAAACTATAACAGAAAATGTTACGCACTTACACTCATGTCACGCCGTATAATAAAGTTAAAACAGTATGTAAACAAACGCGTTGGTACCAGTGCCGAAAGCACGTGCCCAGCTCACTTGTGATTGGCTGAAATGTACCCCCCTCCCCCCCCTCTACTTATGTGGCTGCGTCACTGAGTTCCGTTCAAACTTCCGTTATAAAACTTGCGGAAACGGAAGCAGAAACGGATGTCAAAAACCATGCAGAACTTCCGCAGTTGCGGAAACAGAAACAGAGTTCTGTTGCATCACTACTCTTAACCGATGAGTATGTATGCGTAGGTATATGGATGTGGAAGAGGCGGGAGAGGTATGTCAGGATTATGCTAAATGGAAGTCTGTAGTCTGTGCCTACCCCTCTGGGTGACAGGCGTGAGTGTTTATGTTATTAACTTTGTCTTTTAATTATTTTACTCTTAGGAATAATCACAGTTTGGTTTATTCATTGCTAATCTAACTTATATAAACTATAGTTATTATTACGGAAAGAAACTTAAACCCTTTCATTTTCCTTACAAATTAACTTCCTTCCTATAAAAAATGTCAAATACTTCACTTCATTCTAAATTGGTACTGCACTGGTGGCAGAAAAAGTCTTGTCTACTCTGATTAGCTGTCAGTCCGGTCATGGCATGGTATTGGTCGGCGATAGAATGTTGTGGGTGCCTGTCATTATATGGAATGTTGGTGTAGAGATGGGATTTATAGTCAGTGGAAGTCTTATGCTATGTTTACATGTTTGCCAAGTCTGACCAAGCTCTCAACAAGTATTGTTGGCTGCACGAGTCGTGAGCACACTTTTTATTGGTCGATATGACGTTGGCCACGCTGACGCTCAACGTGATTGGTTCGTCAGCCGATTCTCGTCGTCTATTGGGTTCGCACGTATCATTCGACTACCGACTTACACTTGAGAACAATTTTAGTGACAACTTTTTAATTAGTTTATTTTTGTTAATAGTGGTCGTTGTTAATTGTTGTTTGTGTGTTTCTTGTTTTTAACTGTTTTTGATATTTCTTGTTGTTAATTTATTTTTGTTATAATTTGAGCATTCAGATTTTGGTCTATGCACAGACGAAAGAATTCGGTGTTAAATAGACAATCCCAACAAATAGTCTATGCAGTGTTTTGTTACATAGAAATAATTAGGTATTGCGAAAAACATGATAGACGTTTATAAGCAGACTGCTGAGACGACTAATGTCTACGTAGCTACTGTACGGCATATAGTTAAAGGTGTTAACGGCTCAGAATTTCGAAAAAAAGTCAAGTCAGCGAAAGTCAGCGAAAATATTCAATTACGAATTGAAATAACAACCAAATATCAAATAATTTTGGCCGACAGTGTACCTACGCTGGCTCAACCCCCACCATAGTTCATCTGTGCTCACGACTCGTGCCGGCAACTATACCAAGACCACACAAATGCTAGGCTGGTATTTGGGAGTCATTTAGTTTTTAATTATTTTATTTAGAGCATTTATTCGGCAAGACGACTGTAGTAATCTTGCCATTTTGTACTTGTCATATTCACACTGGTAATATTCCATAAAAAATGTAGTTTTCTCGTTCAACCTCATTTTGCGATCGAGAGTTCGCAACAAAGAAAATCGTCCATTCTTCGCAAGATCAAAAGCGATACTTAGCGCTTGCCGTAAGCCTAACCTTAAACCTTTTGATTTGTTTTCAAAAACCAGAATTTCGACTGCAACAGTGACAAATTTCTCCAAGTTCACGTAAGACAAGCTAAACACTACATTTACACACTTGTGTTTGTGGACACTTGCTGAGACTTGGTAAGCGTGTAAACCCGATATCATATAGCGGTACCCTATATCTTCCAAATGCAAACATTTGTCTCGACTTGAGGAACACACCAGAACCACTAAACAAGCTTTCGTATAGACTAAAGAAAATTAAAAGAGACCTACCTAGACTAATAAGATAGTGTGTAATAGTTCCAATGAAATATCGAAATAAAACAGTCTATAGAGTAACTTCTTTGTAGTGATGCATTTAGGTTTACCACATGACAGTATATTATTCAGACATTTCAAGAATTATGATCCTCTGGGAATCAGGAAATAATAGAATATGGCAGGATATTTTTGAAACTCCCTTGTATTTGTAGTAACTTCTTCATGAAATTATCGGCTCATGAAGAAAAAGATTAAATAAAAGTAAAGCAACTTTGTTTATACGATGCAATAAGAATAGTCAGTCGCGCAGAAATTCGATTAAAATAGTATTATAAAATCTCTAATTAATCCCGAGGATGTCGTGTTACATACATTAATAGGCTTAAGGATTATAAACAGTAATTTATAAAACCCGACTGCGTAAAAATTTTACCTGAAAAAAAGAACATTTTAATACCGAATGTCTACACCTACAATAAAGACGAATATAACAACGCCTCATATGTTAAATAAAATCCATCAAGCCGTTTAGGATACAGAGTGTGCCAGAGACATAGACAACCTTACATAGCAACAAACTCCAGAAGAAGATTATCCTCCTGGGGCAGTCGGTTAATAAACAGTCAAATTAATAATCTCCTCTAATCTTAAAATCGATCGAATATTTAACAACGCAAATGTGTGGTGATAATATTTATACGCATTTAATAATGTTACAGACAATCACCGGAGCGATGAGCACGCTGACGCCCCCAATTCCTCTCGAGAAACCGGAGAACAAAGCGCGCGTCGACTACATACAGGTACATACTGTTACGAGCTTAGGATTTGTGACAATAAAAACTGCCGATTGAATTACCAAAATTGACACATTAATTGCCGAACACCAATTAAAACTTAAAACACACTAATAATTAATCACACTGATCACTTTAGTTCCGAAGTCTCGCTTGTATCGCCAATTCAATACTGCCCCGGTCGCGGCCTTAAACGGCTTTACATAGGCCTTTTCCACCGAAACATCTAGAATGTTCTAGTAAATACCGGTCCTGACCGAATAGGTGTAGAAAGTTCGAGTGAGTAGTTTTCTAGAAAGCTTAGTTCTTCTATTCGTTACTAGATGGCACTAGTGGGAGAGTTCTAGAAAGATCTTGATGCTCCCTTTTCTGCTCTTTGATACTAGATAGCGCTAATAAACCCGCTATATACCGCGAATAAATTATGGCGCGCAACAATACAATATATATATATATATATATATATATATATATATATATATATATATATATCCAACAACAGTTGAAGAGTTAAAGCAAAACATTGTGCAAGAAATTAACACTATTCCACGAGCAACTTGTCAACGTGATTTTCAAATACTGCGAGTGCGACTACAAGAATGTCAAAAAGCTGGTGGCGTTCACTTAAATAACATTATCTTTAAAAATTAGATGTCACTGAAATTTCAATTTCCTGTACTTTTTAAATGTATAAATAAAAAGACAATAAGATTTATAGTTATTTTTTTATTGCATATTCAAATCACTCATACAGTCAAGGCCCACCCTGTATATTCCATTTTTTACCCATATATATATATATACTGGTTATTCATATCACCTATAGAACTTCTTTCTTTTTTTGTAACTGCCATTGTTCTTATTGGATCTATAGCATTATTGTCACACTCAACTGCGAAAAAATAGTCGTTTAGGCTGTCAAGCGTTTAATAAGGTCACAGTTTCGATTCTCGCAGAGATGAAGTATTTCTATACCCTCCTACTCTTATATAGTTATCTACTCTAAATAGTTTTAAATAACTTTCGATGTTTGTTCATGCTTAATTAATATTTATATAATTGAATCTTTAATTTTATATTAGATTGATCAACAGATTAACAGACCACAGTGTGGTAAATGTCTACTGCAATCTATGAATACCTTCAATAAATTTTTAACAAATAATGCCTGTAATTGAGCCGGTATGGCTCCTTTAACCTTCAGATCTTAAGCAGTGCACACACTGCTGAAATATATAAGACTTTTGTATCAACCCAGACTGACTCAAAAGGGTCTCCCTACCACATAGCAAATACCCAATCAATCACTTCCACATTGCAGGACGTGGCGTCGCAACCTGACTTCGACTACCCACCGGAGTTCTACGAGCATACGGAACATCTGTGGAAAGACCAGGGCGTGCAACGCACGTATGAACGCAGTAACGAGTACCAACTTATCGACTGTGCCAAGTAGTAAGTGTCTTGATGCATTTCTAATTAAGTGAGCTACGTACACGGATTCTGGGTGATTTAGGCAGGCTACATGGACTTTGAACTACGACCTTAAGTGGGTTGGAGACTACTTGGAAGTTCTATTCCTAACAATTACAAAACTAATATGTGCCATTTTGTAAGAATTCATTACCGTATAGTACCATGTAGTGGTGGTGTAAGATAAATAAGAAGAGAGAAGAATATTTTTTTCTGAAAATGTATGCTGTTGCGGCCTTTACAGCTTTATCGAAATAGACTCGTGAGAGAGGACCCACGACCTATTGAGTGTAACGATTATACCGTCGGCGAGGTGGTGCTTCGTGGCACCGCGGCTCCTGATTTTGGAGTGAGGCTCCTCTAGCTAGGGCCCCTCTGAAGGAGGTGCCTACCTCGGCTTGTGAACCACGTGGTGTAAGAATACAATATAATTACTATATATAGTCATGTGGGTGTCGTAAGTGGCGACAGAGAGAAATAAATCAGGAGTTGGGCAGCAGCGTCTTTTTTTATTATTCACAAAATCCACAGCTTGTAACAATCTATTTACACACAAATCTTATAAAATAGGTCTTGAAGCCAATTACGAATTTACAATATACTTATTAAGCTAAAAAGAACGTCACAGAGTATTCACCACCTTACTTAAAAATAGATGTATGAAATATAAACATATTGAAAGGTAAACAAAGCGCACGAAATTTGTTGTGTGTGTGTGTGTGTGTGTGTGTGTGTGTGTGTGTGTGTGTGTGTGTGTGTGTGTGTGTGTGTGTGTGTGTGTGTGCGTGTGCGTGTGCGTGGGCGTGGGCGTGGGCGTGTGCGTGTGCGTATGTAAACTATAGCGTATATTTATGTATCCAATTAATACCTGCTACAAAAACTTTCTTGTATTTATATTGTTAATGCTATTTGCTATTTAAATTTATAGTGTAGTTTATAATTTGACATATTCTTGCAAATTACCTTGGCAACTTCACGTTTGAATGATGGTTTACTGGAGTGAAAGATATCAATTGTATTAAATGTTTTATTATAAATTCTGTGAAGCCTATTGACAATCGAATTTTGGGCATAGTTAGTTCTTTTAAGGGCAGTAGCAAAAAGTGTCGTATGTCTAGTTCGTTTATTTGGAATACAAAAACTTAAAATTTGTAACGCTAATTCACAACAGTATATGTAGTTATTACATATGCCGTGTAGGAAGGACATATCCATTAAGGTTCGTCTACTTTGAAGAGATGAAATTATAGCGGAGACTAGATTAGCTATCACCTGAAAAGTGAAAAGAAAAATGAAAATGTAGGTGCTTTAAAAATTTTAACTGAATATTCTCTAGCTTTTGAATATACATCACATATTGAGAATTCCATATTATACTATTATACTCCAGAATACTTCTGACATATGCAAAGTATAGTACTCGTAAACATGCAATATCTGAAAAGGGCTTACTGACTCGTAAAACAAAACCCAAATTTTTGTATGCTTTCGCGACTATTGTATCGATATGTTCGGAAAATGTTAATTTTGAATCCATTTTTACCCCTAGATCAAGTACACGATTCACCTCTGTTAAAGTAAAAGAGGCCTATGTTCAGCAGTGGACTTGTAAAAGGCTGTATGATGATGATGATAAAGTAAAATTATTTATTTTATAATTGTATTTAATTGGATTAATTTTTCTAGTTAATGATACAAAACAACATTTCTTTAAATTAATACCAATACGATTTTCAATATAATAAGTTCTATAAGAGTTTAATCTATCTAGATCGGCTTGAAGGTTACTGCAATCAGTAATCCCGTTAATTTTCATAAAGATTTTTGTATCATCAACATACATTAAAAATATTGCATGCTTAAAGCATCTACGAACATCATATAAGTACGTGGCATATAACAAAGGTCCCGGGATGGTACCCTGTGGTACGCCAGATGGTACCTCCAAAAATTTGGAGCGTGAAATACCTATCACTACAGCTTGAGAACGATTGCGCAGATAAGACTCGAACCATCTCAACAAATTACCGTGGATACCCAGTTCAGATAGTTTACGCAGAAGGATACTGTGGTCAACACGGTCAAATGCCTTCTCAAAATCCGTATATATTACATCTACTTGTGACCCACCATCCATACTATTCGATACATAGTCTACAAAAACTCCAAGGTTTGTAGTAGTTGACCGGCCTTTTATAAATCCATGTTATTCAGAGGGAATCGAAGTGGCAATAATTGGATATATATGAGCATGGACTACTCTTTCACAAAGTTTACTGAGTACGTTCAGGATCGAAATGGGACGGTAGTTCTCAATTGTTGATTTAAGACCTTTTTTATGAATTGGTACAATATGGGCTGTTTTCCAAATGCGAGGAAAGTAGCCTTCCTGAAAACATCGATTAAAAATATGTGAGATAGGAAGAGATAGAGCATCTGCACACTTGGTGAAGAATATTGTTGGTATATTGTCGCTACCCGCATCTTTCGATATGTCGAGATTTTTAATTAGCTTTAAAATATACTCTTTATTAATTTTAATGTCATGTATAGTAGCAATTTGCAATGGACTATTATGCGTATCTTGTAAATATAGATCAGACGGTTTATTATAATTTCTCTCAATAAACTTATTAAAAGCGGAACAAATGTCAAAACTGTTACTGATAACTAAATTATTGTACGTCATCGGTTGAGGATAATTACAAATATTTTTTCTCTTAGATTTTACATAGGATCAGAAGTATTTGGGGTTATTTTTAATTTTTTGTTGTGAAGATTTTATATAGGAATTCACAACAAATAATTAAAAAAGGAAATTTTTTATAACAGTCTGACTGCATTTCTTTTTGTCTACTTCTTAAGTCTGAAAATTGAGCATAGTCGTTTGGGTTTTTGTATTTTTTCCAGTGTTTATGAGCTTTAAACTTTTCTTTAATTAAATTTATTAACAGCCTGCTATACCAGATGGGATAAGTGTGCACACCAGAGTGGTAAACCTGAGGAACATATGTTTCTATGCAGTTATTTATAATTGCATAAAAACCATCTATTATAGTCTCAATATTTGTGTTAATGTCTAATATAAACGGCCAATCCTGTTGATTGAACATTTCATTAATGATATTAAAGTCAGCACGCTCATAAATATACTTTGATCGCGATTGTGTCTTCAAGGGAGGTATGAGTATATCTGACGCAGTGATAATGAGTGAAGGGTAGTGACAGTCTTCTTTAACAAGGTGGAAGTTGGATCTACTAACAGTGACAGACGAGTCTGAAAAAATTAGGTCTAGTATTTTATTACTATTATTTAAGATGGTATTATATTGCATAAGACCTATGAAAGCCGTATGGCCAATGAGCTCTGATGCAGAATTCTGGACTTCAGCAGGGCCTTTCCTGAGTATGACAGGTCCATCTTGTGTCCAGTCTATACACGGTAGATTAAAGTCGCCTACAAGTATAAACTGATCATTGGGATGATTATTACGTATTTGTGAAATAAGATTTACAAACAGTCTGGTTCTCTCTGAGAGTGATGAGTTAGGGGGTATGTAAACCACTGCTATGTGGAGGTCGTGCTCTAATCCCACAGCACTTGAAGGAACCGTCACCCAAACGCACTCAAGGTTATCACAATGCCATTCGGATCTCATACAGGCCTGCAAGTATGGTGCACACATTAACATGACCCCACCACCCAACGACCCACGGTCACGACGAAACACATTATATTTATCATTACATAGTTCTGAATCCAGGATTCCGTCATAAAGCCAAGTTTCGGTTATCATAATCAAGCAATAGTAAATTATTATAAAATTCATTAGTCTTAGTCCTCAAACAAAAAGAACCGTACGTTCTGATAATACAGTTTTAATTCTTTCAGTGTAGTATCCATTGAAAAAACAGTTGACGATGCCAGTACTTATAATAGTTATAGTGAACAATTACATAATCAAGGTACCTAAAAATGAAGCAAGGTATTGGCGTAGGATATGAATAATTATAATTAATAATAGTTTTTAATAAGAATAAGTAATAAATGATTAATAAATGTGTATAACATATGTACAAGAAAAAATCTTGTAAATATGTTATTATTAATCGATAATAAATTACATTATATCTTTTAAAGGATATTCTGTATTTATATTTGAGAAAAAAATAAATATCATCATAATGTAATAAATATATGTATATAAGTAAAGCGTTAGATGAGTGCAGGTATATGTGATTTTGGTAATGTTTATTAATGTATGTGAGAATAAAGTATGATACGTGTGTGAGTTTTTGATAGTGTACAGTGTATCTAGTTGTGTTAACTGATAAAAAAGAATACAATTTGTAACAAGTGCGTACCTTTTCACAAGTAATTTACGAAAACGCTTCAAATTACACTGAATAAACAGGTAAGTAGATTTTAAATAATTTTCACAATATCTGCCGAAGAAGATATGGAGATTGGAGGTGAAGCCTCGTTTTTTCGAACGAAAATACGGCAGTTTTTTTTGTCCAAATTAATTTGTAATTTAGTTCCTATACGTTTGCACTGTGAAAGAAGCATTTTATTTTCTTTTGTTAGATGCTCATTTATAAAAATCATATTAGTTACAAATCCAAACCCCATATCACTGGCTTTTAAATTACGATGTTTACGTGCAGCGGACATTCTTTTGTCTTTAGTAAAACGATGCCTTGACCGAGCGACAATAGGGCGCGCACGCACGGTGCTTGTGGCACGCCGCGGCTGTACGCGATGCGCAAACTCCACTTCAGAGGGTTCGATTGAGACTCCAATATGCTTCGAAATCTTTTGTATAATAGTTAATGTGTTCTCATCCTTATCTTCACCGGTATACCGGCGATTTCGATATTTTGCAATCTGGCCCACTGTTGTTGCTTAATGTTATCGTCTTCCAGAGTCTTCACACGAGTTGTGAGGTGATTTAATTGTTCTTTGAGGAATTTGTTCTCATCCTTGAGGCACTGCAAATCCGATATGGTGGAGTCTAGGTGCTTTTTTAAGTCATCATATTGTCCAGAAATATAAGTCATAGACTCTTGAAGTTTGACAAAGCGACTATTTATATCCTTCAGCTGATTTGATACCATTCGAGTCAGTATTTTTTCAAGCATGGCCTCAATTTCCGTTACCAGTTCTTTTTTTTTTTTTTTAGGATTTCTTTGAATTTTTCTTGAGAAAGTTGTGAGTCCACTGAACGATTTCTTCGTACAGTTACATTAGTCTTGAGATAGATACTCGGGTTTAACTTTGTCATCAATCTTGGAGTGACTAATAGAGCGAATTGGTATATCTAAGTTGCCAATTGTTGGTTGCTTGCTTTTGCAATCTGAGCATTTCCACTGAGTTTTAGCTTCTAGGCTCATTTTCCTAAATCGCTTTGGTGACAAGTTTGCACACAATACATCGTACTTTAATTTACAACCATGACAACTTATGAATTCATTACTTGCTATATCAGTTTTACAACCGGCGCAGCTATATGAATCCATCTTGTAGACTTGATAACTGTGCGGACGGCCTAACGACGCAATGAGCCCGTCTAGCCGTCTACGTCACAGCGAGTAAGCGGCGAGTTGTCGTAGGTCACGGTTTTATACAAATCACCACGTGTGTGTTTTGGTTAAAAACTCAATAATTACTGCACCGATCGTTTTCACGTAAAGTTATACTAATTAGTCACACAATAGACTACACTTAGGTGAGGGATTTTGGTAGTGCACTTCACTTTAAACACTGAATAATCATTAATTTCAACGGACGAAACGCATTGGATGTTTACTAAGTGGCGGTATAAGATGATGCATGTGACATAGTCGTCCTAGCAATAACAAAAAAAAACTGCGGTAACTCACAAGCCAAGCATAGCAAGTGTCTACAAATATCTATAGGGGAGGCCTATATTCAGTAGTGGACTATGAAATCATAAGGTTACCCTCTGAAATGCAAGACGGGTTATAGGGTATAATCCTCCTGATGTTAAGTGGGTGGCACTCTGGCGTCCCTCTTTAGTCTATCTCATCACTCCAGACGACTAATATAGACTGCACCATTACCAGTCACGAGGGTCTTCAGTTTTTCTCACCCATTATTTTACTTGGATTTTTTGTGCATAGAACTTCCCCACCCACAACAACCTATTCTTGCTGTAGCCATAACAGGTACACATATATCAGCAATTAGAACGAGGATTATCATATCTAATAGCTACTACTAAAGCTAGCTAAGCTTTCAATCTTTTTTACTGGTACTTCATTTTACAGGTAGTAATTTTTTTGCGAATACCCTCTAAAACAATAATAACTGTGTGTAGCTCTAGCAGACATTAAAATTATTCAAAGAAAATTTCATAGAATATAGAATCATGGTTATTATTTTTTAAAACATGGAAAACTATTACTGTCAAGTGCATTGCTATCTCATTTCTATTAGTATAAGAATTATGAATTCTTGTATTGTGATCACCAACTCGCTAGCCAAGCAAATCCTGACTAATATTCACAGTTTTAATATGATTTGGTGATAATAAGCACCATCCATCAACACAGGTGCATGGATAAACACAATATATATATATATATATATATATATATATATATATATATATATATATAGTTAAAGTTACAGCCTATATACGTCTCACTGCTGGGCACAGGCCTCCCCTCATTTCTGAGAGTTGTTGGCGAACTTCACATGTCTTCGAATTTTTTTTTCTTCTTATTTCTCAGACATGCAGGTTTCCTCACGATGTTTTCCTTCACCGCCGAGCACCTGGTAAATAAAAACATAATAATAATAAATAACATCTATTATCTCAGGTGCATGGAAAAACACTACCATAATAAATTCATGCAAGGTTGTCTAGCACTTTTTCAAACCTACGCACCCTATTTATTGATGGATGAAGCCCTAGTGATAAAAAGACGGTGAAAACTCCGTCCAAAAAGTTTACTATGATTTTATAATAATAAATAACATCTATTATCTCAGGTGCACGGAAAAACACTACCACAATAAATTCACATAAGGGTGTAAATGCTATCATTTTCTCAAAGTGACAACTTTTGCAGTTTACTTATTAATAGATTAAGCCTTGGTAATCAGTGGCGAAGCTAGGGCTCCAAACTAGGGCAAGCTCAAGATATGGTTTTGTTGTTTTTAGCAGTTTTATAAAAATACACCAATCTTGATCTGTCTCCACTCTTCAGTTTCATATTCAGTGCTGTCGAGGACGTGTTTAACAAGGCACACAGAAGGCATACTACTGCTAGATAGATTGTATGGCTATGATAAGGCTTTGAGAAAAGCCGTTTAGGTTTGCTTGAGCGACAGAAAAAGATATTTACGTACAATACTATACATGAATAAAACTACGAGGTCATGACCTGTGACCAGAGGAGCGCGCGGGAAATTTGAAATAGTTTAAAACAGTTTACGAGTTATTTTATTAGTTGATATTATTGATTGAGCAGATTGAAAAGGCAAGCCTGGCTTTTCGGCTTTTATGGAGGCTTCGCCACTGTATTAATCTAATGATGGTAAAAACTCCATTCTAAAATGTTGAACTTTAAGTTGTTGATAAACTTTACCCCCGCATGGGTATGGTTAGTATAGGTAAATTTTAAGTAATGTATTATAGGGGCCTTCTTGGAAAGATGGATTAAATTTAATTCAGCAATGGACTAAATGGACCGTTGGTGATGATAAACTTTATGGGGCGACTAGTATGTATTGACGACTTTAGGATTGCGTACCGATGTCCTATGGAATCACGACGCACAGTTTGGGAACCATTGGACTAAGGAGCTAAGACCCAACAATGTAGCAGTTGTTTGATGCTAGCTTACCTGTGTCCGCAGCTTCCTGGACCAGGTGCATATAATCAAGCAGCCAGACTACACGCCCACGGAGCAGGACATCCTGCGCTGTCGTGTGCTCACCTCAGGGATTTTCGAGACACAGTTTGTCGTCGACAAAGTCAATTTCCAGTAAGTTTATCTGTATCTAGAATTCGAATAATCTTATATATTTTCCCTTTAATGTATTACCCTAGTGCGAAGCCTTTATTTCATTTCAAACCTAACACTAAACGCATGAAGAAAGTGAACTTCACATTGTTTTTGTTACAAAATATTTCATTTTACACAATTACTCACTCATGTATTGCTTTCTTATCATTTTCGTGAATGCATAATTTTGATAAATAAAGAGAATATTTTAATGACATTTTACACCATAGAGCAATTCAAATGAGTGGAAATAATAATGGATTATAGGATTACAGTACACAGATGTGTGCGCCGGCATAGGTGCACGCTATATATCCTCACTCTCATTAGTCCAATGGGACGGCTATCTGATACCACCGGAGAGAGATTACGCGCAATACAAACGCAAACGGCTCTACGTGCTTACTGAGCCACGGAAGACAAAAGCCACCAACTTCTTGACTCTAGACTGACTCTACGAATATACAGGGTTATTTTGCAATAACTGGTCAAATTTGTAGAGAATCTTCGGAATAAGTAATATAGGCAAATGATAAGAAAAATTAATTATAAAAAATCTCAAACATTCTGTACTTTTTATCTTTTATTCAAAATGCACTATTTTAACTGACTTTACCGCGCACGCACATATGCCCATAAATCACATTTAATTTGGAATAATAATACATACATACATAAACACTCACGCCTGTCACCCAGAGGGGTAGGCAGAGACTACGGACTTCCATTTGACACGATCCTGACATACATCTTTCGCCTCCTTTACATCCATATATCCACGCATACATGCTCGTCGGTTAAGGGTACTTCTAACGTGGCCCCTTTTCAAAATATCGCCAATTTGGTCGATAAACTTTTTTCTAGGGCGTCCCTTCCCGACTCGGCCGTTCACATCTGCCATATAAATTTGCTTTGTCACTCTTTCCTCATTTATTCTTTCTACATGACCAAACCACCGAAGCATTCCTTTCTTAATCCTGGTCACAACATCATCTTGCATACCACATTTATCTCTTATCATGCAATTTCTCATCCTGTCATTCAGATTCTTTTGAAATAAAAGTAGAAACCTTAATTACTCGTATTTTCAAAACCTGTGTAGTAACGGTATATGCTGCCATTTGAGGCTACTATTTGAAAAGTAACCTTGTGGCAGAAAAACCCGATGACTATTTTTGGCCCGAACCGAGATTCGAACCATGCACATAATCAATAGTCGCGCTTACTACTCCTTGACAAGGCACTCACTCACTATACTAACCGACATCGAATCTAAGAAGTCGATAGTCATAGATATTTTTGCGTGCAGTATGTTCGACGTGGGCGGGCAGAGGGACGAGCGACGCAAATGGATCCAGTGCTTCAACGACGTGACCGCCATCATCTTCGTGACGGCGTGCTCGTCCTACAACATGGTGCTGCGCGAGGATCCCACGCAGAACCGCCTCAGAGAGTCACTCGACCTCTTCAAAAGCATATGGAACAACAGGTCTCACTTTCCTCCCTAAATTTTTTTTATTTTTTTATGATTGCATAGCCGAAGTAGTACTATTACTAATGATTTCTTATATTTACGCGAACACTACACATTGAAATAATACTAGTTTTTACGGAATTTATCGCGTATATTTAATTTCTTAAATACCCGACGTTTCGAGAGCTTTACAGCACCCATGGTCACGGGAAGGACTGAGATGTTCAACGTCAATATGTCATAGTTAACCGCGGTTACCATAGATTAAAATTTAACTTTTGTGCCGATCTATGCAGTATGAAATTATGGTATCTTGAAGTCTTGCAGTTGTATGCTTGGGTTGGGATTTAATTTTATTTATTATAGGATCCCAAGCAGATGGTAGCACCCAGCCATCTTCTCTATTGAAATTAGGATGTTTTTTGATTTCAATAGCCTCGCGAATCATCCTTGGAAGGAATCGGTGTTCTTTAGCGAGGATTTGTGGTCTATCAAATCTGATGTAGTGACGGGGGCGATCCTGTACGTGTTCACGCTCATCGACGCTCCGGGAAGTCTGCAGTCTGTGAACACGTTCCGTAAAAACTAGTATTATTTCAATGAGTACTATTACTATTTCACCCTGGGTACTGAGCTCAAATTATAGACTGAACTAATAATCTATATAAGTAAAAATTAATTTTATAAAAGATCGTCACTTGAGATTCGCTGAATTTTTGGGTTGTTTGATTGGGATCCCTGGATGGTTTAGATTCACTATTGGACACGGTAGGTGGCGCTGTTGTTGAGATTCGCTAGTATTATATAAAACCCTAAGGGCCGATCCCCACTATAATGCCGTTCACAGTTCATTCTCGGTCCGATCTCGGTTTGATAAAATATTGTCAAGTAAAAAATATGTGTGTGCATTCATATTATCTGTAACAGTCAAGTTTCGCTCGAATCCCATTCCAATCACAGTCAGATACTAAAAAATTTTGTTTAAGCGAGATAGAACTTGTCACGACATGTGAATTCCTTCCTTTTTTTTGTTGCAACCAACTTGGATGCACTGAATAATATTATCTTCTTCATCAAGAAGAAGAGCTATAATACCTTATTCCTCAATCGAAAAGTTCAATGACATTTTTTTTATTGGTTATATACGTGCCAAATACATCCGTCTTTGATTATTGACGATTCAAGACTGAACAATGAACTGAGTCAGATTGTATAATGTGAACATAAGGGCCGATCCTCAATTGCCATTCACAGTTCGTTGTCGGTCCGATCTCGGTCTGATTTATTATAATGGAATGGGATTTGACCAAAACTTGACCGTTACCAGACAGTATGAATACACACATATATTTTTTTACTTGATAATATTTTATCAGTCCGATATCGGACCGAGAACGAACTGTGAACTGCATTATAAGGGCCGATTCTGATCTCGAATCTCATTTCAATATAATAAATCAGACCGAGAACGAACTGTGAACGGCCTTGTAATGAGGATCGGCCCTAATTGTTATAAAATGGAAGTTTGAACGCCTGTTAACCATTAAAAGACGATATTATGTTGTGAGTCTGTCGTCTAAAAATATAAAATAAAATAATTCTTTAAAAATAAAATTGGAGTACGTTAAAATATCTTCATTTATTGTTATATTTTTGGTTCTTCTGATCTGTCTCAAATGATCATATATGTTTAGTTACAAATGAAGATTTTCACATACTCTAGTTTCATTTTCTGTTCGAAAATCAGAGTTCATATATTTCGGGTATTAGAGTATGTGAAATACGAAATTATTACAAAGGAGTTCATTAGTTGTTTTTTAACATTCGTTAAGTTATTTGACATCGCAGATTGACAAAGAAAAATACGGCAGAACACTGTGTACGTTTTAAGTGTAGTCGAAACCACGCTCAATTTATTGTGAAGATACGAAACCCACGCGCTCGTATGCACGGAAAATAATTTGTAACCAACATGGTTTTAAGTGTATGTGTATTGTTACGACGACCAGTTGCGTATTACTTCATATTACCCGAGAATGTTCCTGAAGATAAATAATAAAATGTAGTAGTAGACATAGAAATAGTAATCTCGAGTGTTCTCGTAGTTTCCGGTCGTAAGATTGGTACGACCTAGATTGGTCTAGAAAGATCTATATTCATTTTATCGAATATAAAAGCGTCTGCGAGGGGGCGAAGGGTTAATTTTTTCGGAAACGCGTAAGTGAATTTTGCTTCGGGAAGCGACTACAAGATAACCTTTGCGATTATTAAGGACCTCATCGAAGAAGCTTAGTGATTTTGGACGACGTAATATGTAGAATATATAAACTGTATTGTATAAAAAGGTCGGGAATAGATTTCTTCGTATTTTATTAATAAATTGAAGATATTTTTTTTTCAAAGTTTTATTACATTTAATTATAATATATATGTGCCATTTTGTTTGATAACTTGTTGCCATCTTATAGGTAGTGACATAATCCTGTTGCTGTAGAAATCTTGGGAATATTTATCAAAAAATGCGACAAGTAGTTTTGACAGTTCTCTCTTGATGTTAACCTAACAACACTATCCAAAGAATTCTGAAGAGACCGAAACAGGTGAAAATCTGAGAATGTAAGGTCAGGAAAATATGGTGGATGAATTAACATTTAACACTTGCACTAAGGCAAGCACTACCCTCAATTTTTGCAGGGTGGCAAACATGTGTGTGGTCTGACGTTATCATGATGAAAGACCAGTCCTTTTCTGTTTATCAATTGCGGTCTTTTTTCCGTAATTTCGTGCTTGAGTCTCATTAGTTGTTGGTAGTAGAGATCCGGATCGATGGTTTTGCCCGGCGGTAAAAGCTCATAATAAACGATGCCCATCCAATCGCACCATACACGCATAATTTTGTAAATAACAATCAGTATAGTTTGTGTAAAATAAGTAGATTTCGATCTTTTAAATACGCTTCAGATGCTGCAGTATACGACAGGCATAAAATTATTATTAGAAACTGTTTATGAATTCATTATAATGCAAGATAAAATTCAACATGTAATTAGCCCGTAAAACTATGAAGGAAAGATCTAAATCACAAAAATAGTAATGAAAGGTTTTTGGCTCTGGCGGGAGAGAATGGCTTCGGCTGCATTCGGTCGGTACGAATGTATGTCGCAGCCAAATAAGAAATAAGGCGCATTAATAACCGCCTTGTCGTAATGCACTATATGTATCAGCTTTTTGCGTTCTACAATGCGGATGATAATGCTGAATTTTAAGTGCTATGCAATACAAAACGAACAAATGCAGCAGGTTGTCTTTAATACAGCAACATTCAATAGCGCTTTTGCATTGTGGCTAGAAATTTTGTCGAAAAGAAAGTGGAGCTAACTAATCGTTATGTAATCAGGCTAGACATTGGCTGCGTTTGGTAGAAAAAAGCGCTAGCAAGCGCTTACAAGCGCTAAAATAGTATTCGGCCAGGACACGATTGCTACTTCAGTAGCGCTGACACAATCCGCCATTTTGCTTATATAATTTGTTTGTTTTGAAGTGGAGTTTATAAGTTGTTTTGTGCAATATTAGTTTTAAGTAATATAATGACATGAATAAACATATAAGGTAGTTGATACAAATAAGGCCTACCTAATTTTAAATGGCTATATTATCAAAAATATCAATGAATTTAATAAAATACATAGTTAATTAGCATCTTTTATTCATTAATTAAACGAATCACAAAAAACGTTTTCAACTTTTTAACAAAATCTTAACAAAAAAATTAACTTTCAAAAACAAACATTTTCGCCAAATTAAATCGCGTATACGCAACAAGGCCTATATACTTCAAATTAAAAATTCTCCAAAACTAATCTTAAACTTAACAAAATGAGATTTCATAATATTAGACAGTTTGGTTTCCTAAAGTTATAAAAAGTTTAACAAAGAAATAAAAATATTTAGCCTTTTTATCATGCGATTAGAATAAACCTTCTATTATTAACAAAATTAAGTAAAATATCAATGAAATTAAATTGTCACTGTAACAAATAAATACTTAACTACACCTTTATTCCAAAAAATACAAAAAACTTTTTTTTAATTATTTTTTTTGGTAGGCCTTATTATAATACCGTGTCTGATTAAGGCCACAAAAAAAATCAAATTAAAATCAAATTAGCAACTTTCATCAGTCTTAAATTCTTATAAACTAAAAGAGATCTCAAATTAATCACAGTCAGGACATAAAAAGGCGTTAACATCCTCTGTCGTGAGTCCAATGCATTCATCGTGATACCACCTAGAACAGTCCCTGCAAGATCTCATATCTGCGACTTTGTCTTCATCACAGGCGTGACAGTACCAACTTTCTTCCTCCTTATTTTTCTTCCTCCTTCTTGTTTTTACGTTTTTCTTAGTGCTATTCTTTTCATTCTTTTTATTTGATTTCGAATTTGTGTCTTTTCTTACAGGTTTTTTTAATTTATCTGAAATTGCTTTCTTTTCACCGACTTTTGTATCTTTAATTTTAAACAAATCTTTTGTTACTCTTTGACCTTTATAGTTTAAGGCTTTTTTTCGTGGTCTAGTTTTAATATCGCCATAATCAGGTGTTGGCATAAATTTCTGGAATGGAGATTTTGTACTTAATTGCGCTAAAGTCACGTTATCTTCATCTGGTGAGTCTTGTGATGAATTTCTTGGGCTTGTAGACGTACATTGAGGCCGAGGTAGGTATGAAATTGTCGGACTTGCTGAAATGATAGATTTTGAATGCTGAGATAGAGGTAAAATATGTTCGGATCTTTCAGGTACTTGGTTTATTTTTGATTTAGGAGACAGATGTACATCTACGGCGACCTCAAAAGTTTGTGGAGATTGAGGAACAGATACTACTTTGGATCCATCGTTCGTGACGTCTGTTTCTGAATCAGTAGACGAATAAATCCTCAAACGTCGTACTGGAAGAGGTCTGTTTAAAAATTTGCTGATAATTTTAGATTTTACAAATTTGCTTTTAGTTTCAGTGTCAGAAGATTCGTCTGTGTCGCTGTAAGCTACAAGAGACTGTTTATTGTGTATTCCACTAGTCCACGGCAGATTTTCATCATCAGCGAATGCTGGCGTATGACGCACAGAAGAATAATTTTCAAATACTTGAATATCTGGCGTGTCAGGTGTTCCAGGCAGAATTTCTGTTGCAATCAGATCTCTTAATTCTCGTAAAGTAGCAATGGGCGGCGAGGAGCAGGAGTCCTCATGTGTGTCCATTGCAGTATCGGAGTTTGGTGAAGGATGTCCAAGTACTTCATTTTCATTTGACAAGACTGAATGGATTGATCGTTGGGTTAAAATTGATGGGGCAAAAGCAGTTTCTGGTATTGCATTAGGATTAAGTGGATAAAGACCGGTCGCTCTGAACCCACTGGTAATGTTTGCAGTAGTCATACACTTGGCCCACACCCGTGTTAATATTTTATTGAACTGCTGTTTTGAGATTGCCTTTGCACGAGTTTCGTAAAGAAATTGTAAAACTTCTTGATCCCAATACGTCTCAAATGGCTTGAAACAGGTCTTGTCCATAGGTTGCAACCTCGTGCGTAGTATTCGATGGCAGACAATACAGCACTATGTCATTTTTTTCAGCTTCTTCTACGATGCGAAAATCCAAGCGGCACTTTGCGCCATCAAAAATGAGTAAACATTTTCCAAATGTTTTATATTTGGCTAGGTGTTTAATAAAGATGATGAATAGGTCTGCTGTCATGCTTCCTTTTCTAGCCATTTGAACAATAGACCCTGGAGGAAGATTTTTTTCATACTCTGCCATCTTCCTTTTTCCTTTAAACAAAATCATTGGAGGTACAGGATTTCCAATCGCATTGGCGCAACCAACAACTGTTACATTTTCTCCATGTTCTGCCACTTGTATGTGTACCCTCTTTGCTCCTTTTTGTGAGATCACTGTCTGCTGGTGATGTAACGTAAGCCTGCAGCCCTTTTCATCCATGTTATAAATTTTTTCTGGATGGTTATGCAATTCCAGTTCATCGTAAAGTTTTTTTACTTGTTCAAAATGGTGGAATACAATGGGTTTATTCAATTTTTGGGCACGGGCTGGATTTAGAAACTGTGCCTTACGTTTGGCCATCTCTGGGTTTCTTTTTAAAAACAACCTCAACCATCCTTTTCCAGCAAGCCCTGATTGTTCGTTAAAGTTATGAGGAATATTAAATTTCTGACAAAAAGCAAACGCCTGTATTCTGATCATTTTCGGGGTCAAAGGTATGCCCAGCTGCGAGAACTTTATTATTCGTTTTACAAAATCTTTTTCTTGATCTGAAGTGAATATAGTCTGTCTTCCTAATCTTTTGGTGATCTTCCCATTTTTGACATGGTTTCTTAGAGTTCTTCGCGGGATACCATATTGCGCTGATGCTTTATAAGTTGACATTCCATTACGTACCGCACGAACTGCCGCGGCCAAACTATCTTCTGACCAAGTAGCGCGTTTTTGTTTTGATGGAGACATCTTGCTGGGGACTGATGACAGGTACTAATAACTCTGCAATAGAATATTGAAAATTAAGAAAATAGAGATTTTCAAATCCGCCGACACTGCATTGTCACCAAAATCAATTATTATCACCAAATGGTCGGTCAAGAATTGATATAATGTACCAACATTGTTGAAAAAAGGGCGGTATATTCAATAAGGCCTGTGGTCACAAATAAGGCCTATCGCGCAACAAATAAGGCCTAGGCCTTATTAAACATCCCGCTCAAATTGTCTTTAAAAATATACAAAAAGTACATCAACGGGCAAATCTTAAGTCTAACGACACAAAACGTTAGTAAATATATTAAGAAAATAGTTGTTTAAATTATCGTACACAAAAACTAAGTAATTTTACCTAAAAACTTACCTCGAAATCTCCAGTATTTTAAAAATTGGCGCGAAATCGTCCACCTTGCTAGAAGAACGCGTGCCAACTGGCGACTGGGAGGGGTAGCGGGACGCCCACGCATTTGTGTGATTCATAGGGCCGTTACATGCGGTCGCGTCAATTATTATTAAAATATTGTTCATTTCTCTAGGTTTTTCGGTTAATAGGCCTTATTACAACATAGGCCTTATTTGTATCAAGTACCTTACATGTTATTAAAAATTCATGATTGGTAAGTTTTTAATATGAATACTTTACAAACATATATTTAAATTAGGTTAAGTTCCCCGGTTTAAACTAACATCGTGTCCTAGAGGAAAATAGCTACTTACGATTTGACAGCGCTTACCGCTTACGATTGCCATTTTGCTTACAAGCGCTTGCTAGCGCTTTATTCTGCCAAACGCACCCAATGTCTGCCGTTTTAGTCAACGTATCGTAACGTCATTCTGGCTGAACGTCAGTAATCTGCATTTGTAAATAGCTCCGTATCAAAAAGCACTGCAAGTATTAAGAAGGCAAGTATTGTAGCTAGGTCTTTTTGAATACGCCTGATTATAAATGTTGGCTGCAACGATGTGTCGCCTACTCCCATTCGGCTGCCTGGTGCCTACATAACGACGATATTCTTCGTAGACTTCGCTAGGTATTCGCCTAACGAAATAAATATGCATGCGTCCTTCTCGCGCTTATAACTTTCGTTCACAAGCGATTGTAGCCGCGAAATTTAAAATAATATCACCTATTTATAGTTTTACACGAATTGTTTTTATGCATTATTTATATATATCAGTTATATTTTACAAATACTTTCGAGGATAGTTTCTATTCCACTTAAACAAAACACCATATTATTTTCCAGGCGATAAAAATGTCACTCAGTATATGTTTGCGTGCGTACGTGTTTTCGCACAATTATTTGAGCACGGTTTTGGCGTCACTTGAAATGTACGTACTGTACTGTCTATTTTTCTTTATTGGTCTGCGAATTTGAACGTGTAAAGAGCACTGCTGGACGTGAACCTTCATTTGGGTATGTTTTAAAAAATAAATGTTAATTCTTGCCGCGATAGCTACAGCTAGACACGCTGTTCCCTGTCATCAATCTGCGGGATTTGGGTTTGGCAAATACGGATGAATTTTACACCTATGGTGGGTTGGCAGACCCTTATGCTTTAAGTGTGAATAAGGTTGACATTTAGGGCAATGAAGTTTTCACCACGCACCACATTTGTATTGAATTATTGACACTACAATTACAAATTTCATAAACTAAATATAATATAATAATTTCGGAATAGTGTCGGTGATAAGACATATTTATCGAAAAATAAGCCTTCGACTTTAGAAACTATTACGTGGAAATTATTTGTATCTTTTTAGATTTTTAAGTTGATTTCAAGGTTTAATTAAAAAAATTACCCTTTTAAGTGATCTAAGTAATATCACAAACTCACGGTGTCTAATGTCGTACCAACCTTGACAATTAGCCTATTTAATAAAGACAAGAATCGGTTCAGGCGTTTCTGAGAAATCATCGGTATATAAAAACATACTGGTTGATAATCTTATGAACCACCTTTCATTAAAGTCTGCTGGAACCTTTATGAAAATGCATTAAAATAAATGTTATATCCCTCGACAGATGGCTGCGCACGATATCAGTGATCCTGTTTCTGAACAAGCAGGACTTGCTCGCGGAGAAGGTGCTCGCGGGCAAGTCCCGGCTGGAGGAGTACTTCGCGGAGTTCGCGCGCTACCAGACGCCGCCCGACGCCTTGCCCGACGCGCGCGACCACCCTGAGGTGGCGCGCGCCAAGTACTTCATACGTGACGAGTTCCTCGTAAGTCTACGCTCCTGGTGCATCATCACCCGTGTACCACCTTTCTTTTTCAAATGAAAACTTTAGGATCATTGGGGTTTTTGAAATACGATGAAACTAAAAAGAGACAAACATACGCTTTTTAAAATGAAAACTTATTTAGAATACACCATCTTTTTCTTTTCTTTTATTTTTTTGTATGGCCGTGGATGTAACTTTTGCCAGTCTTAAGAATTTATACAATTTAAAAATAAACGAGCGAGCCTTACAGTAATCGCATAATATGTGTAACATCTAACATCTCATCCTCAATAAGTTGTATTTCGTAAAAGTCAAATTAGTATCGACAGCGAGACCTTATCTACCCTTCAGAGCGCAAGTAGGATCGCTACTTGCGGGTTTTTCGTCTCAGAAAGTTTTATAAATTATTTAATATTTTTTTTATAAAATAAGGGTGACATACGAGCACACCACCTGATGATATGTGGATGTTGTGGCCCATAGACATCTACATCTATCCTCGACTAAGAATCAAAACGCGGATGCGTTGTCACCCGTGAGGACTAAGATGGAATGCCTCGTTTCCAGTAAAAAGGGTCTCCGGATCTCTACACTCATCATACGAAACACATCAGTATTAAGCTGGTATTTTATGCTGGTATTCTGTGATAGCGTGGTCCACCCCAGTCGAGCCAACCCTTTCGTGCCACAACCATAATATAGCTCCAGCGTAGCTCTACCACGTATAACATTAATTAGGATATAAAGAGATTTATTTGACATTTTGTTTATTCTACTCTAATTAGACTGGCTATAATAAGTTTGAAGAGGATTTTGAATTTTTGTATAATTACGAAAGATAAAAAAGAAAAGTTTTATTTGTAGAAATATTTCAAAAACGGAAAGTTTTAGGTCCAGAACTAATATTCCAATTGGAATATGAAAATCGAATAAGCCGTTGAGAAGATATAAGCAAAATTAGTTTAAGAGAAATTTGGAAACCTGTATTATATAAAGTTTATTTATATAATACAGGAAACTTTTTAGTTATTGTAGTTAATATTAAATATTGTTGTTTTATATAAGAAAGAATACATAAGGAAATATAAGGTTGACTCACGCTAGACCGAGTCGGGTCCGAGCCGAGTGTCGGCCGTAGCACGGTCACCGAGCCGGTCCCGTGCATGAAATTAAAAACACGGGTCTCGACCGAGCAATTACCGTTGCGACATGATGCAGTATACTCGTCCGAGTAAATATAGAGTTCTATAACTGGACTACAATCGTGTTGAAAGAATCATGCCCACTTTCCATACATTGATTAACCTGTCACTTGATTCCTTTAACAGGTTGCATCTACCTACTACTGTTGCATAAAAACAATTATTGTTTATAATAAAATAATAACTTATCATCTTTCCATTTAGAGGCCAGGGAAAAATGCTATTCAGCCAATTAGTTTTTGATGTTTTAACAGATGTCAGATTAGGTCTGTACGCTTATTTTTCTTTCCACACCGTAGTTAAAAACCATAAAAATCGTATCTAATCATAAATTAATAAGTTATAAAAAAAGCAATTGGTTATTTTAACATTCATAAACCATATGACGAATGAATAACTTTTTCGTAGTCTGAAACGAAACGTGTAAAACATGTTTTTATTCTCTACGTTTTTTATGTATTTTGGCATAGCTTCTAGGTCTTTAAGCCATTGTAAAACACGTTCCGTCTCCAAAAGTCTATTGAGAATGACAAACATCGTAACATTACTTTTTTCCTGGCTTTATTTGAAAATTTTTTAAGATATTTTACATCACTAGACGCGTTAGAAAATTTTCAGGTCAAAACTGGATATGTTTCTTTAATGATCTGGAATTAGCCGCTATTGCGATCGCTCTGAACGATGGAGAATCTGATAAATCTTTATAATATCTCTCTTCAACTACAAGCCGGGACCGAGTTGTTGCCGAGCGTTGTCCGTTGCTCGGCCGTCACTCGGTTGCCGCTCGGTATAGCGTGAATGTGACCTTACAAAATATATGTAATATTAGTTGACCGTGCTACGGCCGACACTCGACTCGGATCCGATACGGTCTAGCGTGAGTCAATGTATGTGATAAAATAGTTAGGTGTAGTTATATCAAAATTAAAAATGTCAATTCAGCAGTTTTTTTAAACAGTTTTTGAAAAAAGCAGTGACAGAAATAAACCTCAAAATTGAAATACGCTAAATACTGAAATATTTATTCGAATAATTATACATTAACGAGTGAAAAATAAAAAATACAAGTGGCATTTTTTATCAATGGTACACTGTCTAATTTTTTAAACATTTATTATCGTCTGCAAATACGTTTATAAATATTATAGTTTACATCTACAATATGTAATGTAATTAACGCACACCCTCAGACACCCCAATTAGTATATTATGTTATAATCAATCTGAACAAACTACTTTCTCAAAGTGCGTTAATTATGTTTATATAACAGAACACTTTATACACAATACTGTAGGTTACGCGCGCAGCTGATGTGTTCTCCTTCTTCTTATTTCCTCGCGCACGAACTATTGGTTGACAGTACAAACGGCATACTCTACCATTGCGCGCGCTCATTGATCAAATCAAATAGCGCGCGCTACTCCGGCTTCCTGGGACACTGCCGTCCCTTTTTTACGAAACCACTCCCACAGATTGCAGGAAAGGGAAACGATAGATGCTACACATCAATAATATATTTATGTTAGTTATTTCACAAAATGCTGGAGCGTCACAGTGATAAGTTGTTGGATGACGACTGTAGGTGTCTCAAGTTCTTAAGACGCGTTAGAGGTCAAAATAACTTTAGATTTATATCAACATCTGAGTACTTGTTTCGTCGTTTTCACTATTATATTTGATCTGCTCATACATTTAATATACAAAATAGCATCAATAATAATAACAAAATCCACTTAAAACTATTAATACAATAAAACGGGAGCAACAATTCGGCGGCGGTCAAGTTCCCATCAAAATCCTCCTAGTAAGTCATACACTCCTGGTACTGGTGGTACTGGTGACGTGTACACTTTTACAGCCCTTCAGAAGCAACATACTGTAAGACCTCATAGTGTAGCAGTTATGGCAAATATCCCCCATATTTGACATTGCAGCTTCGCTATCGTGTAGATTATCCTTTTTTTAAATCATTTAAGATGTTGTCAGAAAAATGCTGCTGCCCATCTCTTGTTTTATTTCCTTCTTGTGCCTTTTATGATACTCTTCTTAACCTCTCAGTCTCCAAGCGGTCGAATCCGACCGCGGCGCTATTCTGTCAAAATTCAAGCGGTCTGATTCGACCGCAAACATCCAGACCACTTGAAACCATTAAAACTTATATTTAGGGACTACTTTTATATGAAGTAGTTTGGTATTATAGAATCAGAATGAAATTTTCTATCCTCTAGTGCCGTGGTTGTCATACTGCGGCCCGCGGATGATATTTGTGCGGCCCGCGACAAAGCAAACAAATTTAGGAAATTATATCAAAATATCATCTACTAAACACATCAAGTAAACTAAATAGAAGTACGCGGGTAGGTATAAAACTTCCTCCTGCAACTTGCTCTGACTGAGCGGGTTGCGGAAAGGGGAAATCAAGGCAAAGGCGAACGCAACTTCAATTTCATTCATTTGTTTTATAAACATACTGCATAGGACGACACTCGTCAATAAACTACGAGCGCGAAGTATTCTTATTTAATAACATAATGGCGGCAGTATCATGAAAAAGTGCTACTAAAATGAATTTAAGTAACAAAAAGTAACAAAAAATTTTTTTAAGAAAAATTATAAGAATTTTGTTTTATAAGTGGACATACGTATGGTACCGCAATTTGTTTAATATGCCGGAAAAGTGTTGTTGGAATAAAGCGATACAATTTATTTCACTACTATTCCAGTAAACACAATTCATTCCCTGAAGCCTTTCCTTTGGAATCGAGTGAAAGGGAGAATAAAGTAGCTGCTTTGAAATCTGCAATTTGTCGTCAACAAAATGTTACGACGACAGCAGTTGGACAAAACGAGGCTGTTAAAAACATCTCACCAAGTTCGTTACATGCTTGCAAAAAGGATGAAACCTTTCACTGATGCTGAATTAATAAAGGAGCGCATGTTAACTGCTCCTCAGACTTTGTTATATACATTTTCAAATAATAACCAAATAATAGCGGAACTAAAAAATCTTACGCTTTCTAAATCAACCTGTCGATGCCAAATTGACGATTGTTTCAAAAAAAAAACATGTTTGAGGCAGTAGTTGATAGGTTGAAAATGAAATATTTAGTCTTGCGTGTGATTCTAGTATGTACGGATATATCTTCTATGTCTCAGTGCTTACTTTTTGAGCGGTACTGCACTATGGACGGATTCATAGAAGAGGACTTCTTAGCCGTCATAACCATGAAGGGCCATACGAAGGGTTGTGATTTTAGGGAAGCTCTGAAAGAATTTGTCGAAAAGTACGGTATACCTGTGAGTAAATTGATATCAGTGTGTCCGTCAATGTTGGTTGCAAATAATGATCTTATTGTCTTAATGAAGATAATTGAATATACCTACCTAATTGGCTGCCCATTCACTGCTTGCTGCATCAAGAAACCTTGGTTTGTCAAATTTCGAATAATAAATTGAAGGATGTAATGAGTATTCATCACATTCTCATAAACATAATCAATTTGATTCGCGCGCGTGAACTAAACCATCGAAAATTTAACCCGGCGCCAATGACATAAAGAAAATTACGCGGGCGATGACACCGGGTCATCGGATTTTGTTTGATAATTTTTCACGATATTAAAGTAATTTTCTGAACATAAATAAATCTTTATAAAATAAGAGTTCTTTGCATATGAAGTAAAAATAACTAATAAATAATATAACCTTTAAATCATTTTTTTATTATATTTTCTTATAACACATGTAAAATCAATATTGTAAACATAACATGAATATTATTTTTCCTTTTTTATTAATTTTTCGAATTAATAATAATAATCAATGATTTTATGTACTAATAAAGAGATCATACAAACTTCTTATCATAAAAATAAGAAGGAATCAGTCATCTGCTTCCTCTTTTACAAACATGAAACTACTACAATTATTGAAATACGGTATAAAATGATCTAGGCATATGTAAATGTGGCATACATGACAAGTATGAGATATTTTCTTATTCTTTTTAGACGGATATAAATGACGTCTCTTACGACTTCCTGGTAAAGCCGTGGTAGCTCAGATGGTTAACGCTCGCTGTAAATATAACAGAATGCGAGTAATCCGGGTTCGATCCCCGCCGGCACCAATGAAATTGTTAAATGCAATTTTAAGTGCTGATTTACCACGTGCTCGGCGGTGAAGGAAAACGTCGTGAGGAAACCTGCATGTCTGAGGAATAAGAAAAAAATATTTCGAAGACATGTGAAGTTCGCCAACACGCATTGGGGCAGCGCGGCGGACACTTCCTTGCCCTAAAACCCTCTCAGAAATGAGGGGGAGGCCTGTGCCCAGCAGTGGGACGTATATAGGCTGTAACTTAAGTTTTTTTGTGAAATGACGCCTTTTCAAACGTGTATCGTTATTATTAGCCCGATATATTATATTAGCATTTATGCCTGATATATTCTCAGCATTGTGTAGAAAATTGTCAATGGCCATTGATTAGACTTTCTGCTCACATTGAAAGTAGCACAAAGTTTGTCAGCTACATCCACTCTGCCCTTAGTGTCATTATAATAAGTTACTATTTCGGTTACCGCCAGTAAAATCATCAATGCTGGAATCATGGTGCAAGCTTGACGTCACGAGGACAACTACATTTTTATTCGGAGTATAAGAGACCACAATTACATCCTTTTGATATCCAAAAATTTGAAAGTACTTGTTGTATTTTTTATTTTATTTTTTATCTTTTTTCTACTTTTCGCTCTTTTGCATGTGTTGTGATAAATTGAAGTAGGATTTGCTTATTGTTTCTGCGTATGGTGCCTACTAATGTCAGTTTGTGTTCACTTAGCAGATTATCATAGCTACGACGAGTATTGGAGACTGGCAACACAAGGTGATTTACTACATCAAACGGTTTGTAACTAATCGAGTATGGGCTATTTGGTTGGTTTTCGCGGAATATGTTTTTGAATCTACTAAGGCAAATATTTTAATTCCGTATTTTGCTGGTTTAGACGGTTTATATTGCCTAAATTGCATCGTCTTCTGAATGCGTTTAGCATATCATTAATCGTGCAGTTTCCCCAACGAATACATTTTTTTACATTCTTCAACAAACGCTTGAAAAAGTTCACGTATTGGTGTTAAATTATCATGTGTTATTTTTGACAAAAAGCTGAAATAGAACAAAGTAAATTAACAACAAACACAAAATTAACAAACAAAAGTAAGTCACAAAAATACTACGCCAGCGATGACGCTGGGTCATATTTACCCGTATTGACTTGACGCACGTATATCTTGCTGCGCAGTCAGCGTCATACTGAGTGTACCAACGGTCCTGAAAGAGGGAGGCTGTATCTCCAGCTACTCAAACTTTCAAACTTTATGACTGAAGTAAAAAAAAATCTAAGTATATTTAAAATCTCCTCGGGTCAATATGACCCAGCGTCATTGGCGCCGTGTTAAAGACCTACTTGAGGAATTACAAGCTAATTATGGTGATATAGTCCTACATACCTCAAAGAAAAAGTTCTGGAACGGTTCTTTCATTTAAAATCCGAAAAAATTCTATTTTTTCAAAAAAGTGATAAAGAATATCCTCAACTTCTCAACGATGAATGGTGGCCACTGACAACCTTTTTGGCTGTTATTACCAGGAAGTTTAATGATCTTAATTTAGAGTTTCAAGAGCCTGACAAGATAATCTGACAAATGACGAATATAATATTTGCATTTGAATTTAAACTTCAATTATATATAAATAAGGTCCAAGCTGGAGACTTTTCTAATTTTCCAACCTTTGCAGTTGAGCAATCAGGGGTGTCTATTTCAGATAGTATTTATCAAGATATGGTTTCCTACGCAATGGAATATTTGTCAGAATTCAAAAAAGATCCAATGATGTGAGAAATATTAAGAACTATTTTATTCTTGTAGAAAACCATTTGTGTGATCTATACTAATATTTGTTTCATGTGTTCTTTTTGTGCGTTCATTGTATACTAGTTAGTTCTTTGGGTTGGCAAATAAAGACTTCACATTAGTCACATTTGTCAATTGCCAGAATAATCTAGGGGGCGATCGGGTTGACAGCTCACAAAAAATATACCAATTGATTGGTGGTGTCAACTTAACAATCCAAGAATGTGCGGCCCGCTGAGACACCGCACATTGTCTTGTGTGGCCCTGGACTGGATAGGTGTGATGACCACTGCTCTAGTGGAATAAAAAATCAAGTTAACCTATGGATATTTATTTATAATCTACGTTTGTGGCATAGGTGATAAGTATTAAATACATTTCAATGTTAATATATAATAATATAAAGTAAATTAATTTCATCTATAAAATCACATATATAAAATCAAAATTCTAAATTGTAATAAATATTTTTTGGATAAATTCAACAACTTAATGTAAAATTAATTAATCACTTAAGAAATCCTACTTACTAACTTTTCCAATTATTGTTAACAATATTTTTTTGTATCGAAGTACTTACTAAGTCAAGCCTGCCTTACCGGTCAAGTTAGTTAGTAGTAATTATATGCATTCGCTGCGGGAGCTCGTGCCACGCTCGCCCTTTTTACTCCGCGAAATATAGTAATTAAAAATAATAATAGTATATAATATAATAGTAATAGCAAGTAGTATTGAATTGTAAGTGTTGTGTAAGTAAATAAATAAACTTGTGTGCAGGAATAAACTATTAGAGTGTCTGTTTTATTGGGTCAGGAAAACTAGTCAGGCTAATATACCTAGTCAGGCTAATTATACCTGTAAGTACAACAACGCCTCGTTATACGTTCATTTCGTACGCCATTTTCGCGTGAATTTTATTGTGTTGCTTTTTGGATTTATCTAGTGTTTTATTATAAAATTGTTATAAAAGTTTTTGTGGAAATATAATTTATTTTTTTCGTAAATAACTTCGAGTAATATATATTGAAATAATTGTGATTTTCACGCTGCCGACATTCGCTTGATTTGTTTTGTTTTTGTTATCAAAATACATTATATATAATAAAATTGTCTTTTTGTAATGAAGTAAAACCTGACTTTTATATAGAGAATTTTGTATAGATTTTGAAATGCCAAACTTCTTCATTGAAAAGTAGTCTCTAAATATAATTTTTAATGGTTTCAAGTGCTGTGGTTGGTTGCGGTCGCATGCGACCGCTCGGGATTTGCCGGGCGCATGTGACTGTATGGGACTTTTATTGGGATTGAGGGGTTAAAAATATTAAATCCGTCTATGTCTTGTAATTCTCGCATTTTATTTACAAATGAATAAAACAAGTTTAGTGTAATCTTTATTACTTACTTATTTAACCTTACCCCGACCTTGGCAAGTGTATGTGGGAAGATAATTTCTATTTTTAGAACATTCAATACTATGTTCAGCATATTAATTCAAAACTATCAGCAAAAGCTATTTCTCAAGCATATTGACTTTTACTGGCATTATTTAAAGGGGCAGGGAACTATTATTCTTTTCCTTAAATGCCGCCCCTTATAATGTGCCACCTGGGACCATTGTATCCTTGCCCTCCCTCCCTTCCTCCTTTACTACACCGTAACTACCCATAGGATTTTTGTTTCGTATATTCATCGAGGTTCGTGCTACTGTTTGATTAACTTTATTCATTTTAGTATAAGATTTTATGAAACAAACTAAACACAGGGTTCTTTCTAGGTTCAATTAAGTGTGTTAGAATTCATTTGCAAATAAAGTTAACAATGGGATATGATGGGACTGACTTATTCGTTAGAAAAAAATTCGTATTTACGACTTAAAGAGAAAAAAGATACAATGTTATACATAATGTCATCCATACCGAATTCCAGTCATAGCGGCCAGTCTTATTGGAGACCATTCAATTTGTCCGGGACAAGATTATAGAATACATGTGTATGTGTGTGTAAGCATAAGTGAAATTTTTATTCTCTCACTCTCATAGAGAGGTTGGACGCAGGATCTACGGCTTTAGGGTAGGTTCACACGGCGCGTGGCTTTAACGTACCGCTGTCACTGCGTCGTTTTAGATACTGATAACCATAGTGTTCACACGGTGCGCTGCATTGACGCAACGCGCACACGACTGACTGAAAGCGAGAGACGAAGGGGGAAGGGTGTATTGCTTGCGACGCTGAAGTGGCAGCGTTCAGCTGTTTGTGTGTTAATAGTACGCTAGCAAGTTTCGTTTTTTCGACGAAGGAATGTTACGACTGCGTTATAGCAACGCTGCGATGACGCAGCGCCAGTATGGCCGCCAAAGAGTCAAAATATTGGCGTTGCGACGACGCAACGCAGCGCAACGCGCCGTATGGACTCACTCTCGTGCTTTTGGGGATGAAACACTGCTACCTTCCCAATTCTCTTATTTAATAATTGTGCATAATTTATCCACAGCGCATAAGTACGGCGAGCGGTGAGGGTAAGCACTACTGCTACCCGCACTTCACGTGCGCGGTGGACACGGAGAACATAAAGCGCGTGTTCAACGACTGCCGCGACATCATCCAGCGCATGCACCTGCGCCAGTACGAGCTGCTCTAACCGCACGCATCACCGGTCGGTATAGTGCACGCACACGCACACTTACTGTAACACACACGTACGTGCAGTTCAATATGCACGTACATACACTACAATACACACGTACATACACTGCAATAAATACGTACATAAACTACAATACACACGTACATACACTGCAATAAATACGTACATATACTACAATACACACGTACATGCACTGCGATACACACGTACATGCATTGCAATACACACGTACATACACTGCAATACACACGTACATGCACTGCAATACACACGTACATACACTACAATACACACGTACATGCACTGCAATACACACGTACATGCACTGCAATACACACGTACATACACTACAATACACACGTACATACACTACAATACACACGTACATACACTACAATACACACGTACATACACTACAATACACACGTACATACACTACAATACGTACGTACATACACTACAATACACACGTACATACACTACAATACACACGTACATACACTACAATACACACGTACATACACTACAATACACACGTACATACACTATAATACACACGTACATACACTACAATACACACGTACATACACTACAATACACACGTACATACACTACAATACACACGTACATGCACTGCAATACACACGTACATACACTACAATACACACGTACATGCACTGCAATACACACGTACATGCACTGCAATACGCACGTACATGCACTGCAATACACACGTACATGCACTGCAATACACACATACATGCACTGCAATACACACGTACATGCACTGCAATACACACGTACAAACACTACAATACACACGTACATACACTACAATACACACGTACATACACTACAATACACACGTACATACACTACAATACACACGTACATACACTACAATACACACGTACATACACAACAATACACACGTACATACACTACAATACACACGTACATGCACTGCAATACCCACGTACATACACTACAATACACACGTACATACACTACAATACACACGTACATACACTACAATACACACGTACATGCACTGCAATACACACGTACATACACTACAATACACACGTACATGCACTGCAATACACACGTACATGCACTGCAATACACACGTACATGCACTGCAATACACACGTACATGCACTGCAATACACACGTACATGCACTGCAATACACACGTACATGCACTGCAATACACACGTACATACACTACAATACACACGTACATGCACTGCAATACACACGTACATGCACTGCAATACACACGTACATACACTACAATACACACGTACATACACTACAATACACACGTACATACACTGCAATACACACGTACATGCACTGCAATACACACGTACATGCACTACAATACACACGTACATACACTACAATACACACGTACATACACTACAATACACACGTACATACACTACAATACACACGTACATACACTACAATACACACGTACATACACTACAATACACACGTACATACACTACAATACACACGTACATGCACTGCAATACACACGTACATGCACTGCAATACACACGTACATGCACTGCAATACACACGTACATACACTGCAATACACACGTACATACACTGCAATACACACGTACATGCACTGCAATACACACGTACATGCACTGCAATACCCACGTACATACACTGCAATACACACGTACATACACTGCAATACACACGTACATACACTACAATACACACGTACATACACTACAATACACACGTACATACACTACAATACACACGTACATGCACTGCAATACACACGTACATGCACTGCAATACACGCGTACATACACTACAATACACACGTACATGCACTGCAATACACACGTACATACACTACAATACACACGTACATGCACTGCAATACACACATACATGCACTGCAATACACACGTACATACACTGCAATACACACGTACATACACTACAATACACACGTACATGCACTGCAATACATACGTACATGCACTGCAACACACACGTACATGCACTACAATACACACGTACATGCACTGCAATACACACGTACATGCACTGCAATACACACGTACATGCACAGCAATACACACGTACATACACTGCAATACACACGTACATGCACTGCAATACACACGTACATGCACTGCAATACACACGTACATGCACTGCAATACACACGTACATACACTGCAATACACACGTACATACACTGCAATACACACGTACATGCACTGCAATACAGACGTACATGCACTGCAATACACACGTACATACACTACAATACACACGTACATGCACTGCAATACCCACGTACATACACTACAATACACACGTACATGCACTGCAATACACACGTACATGCACTACAATACACACGTACATGCACTGCAATACACACGTACATGCACTGCAATACATACGTACATGCACTGCAATACACACGTACATGCACTGCAATACACACGTACATACACAGCAATACACACGTACATATACTACAATACACACGTACATGCACTGCGATACACACGTACATGCACTGCAATACACACGTACATGCACTGCGATACACACGTATATGCACTGCAATACACACGTACATGCACTGCAATACACACGTACATGCACTGCAATACACACGTACATGCACTGCAATACACACGTACATGCACTGCAATACACACGTACATGCACTGCAATACACACGTACATACACTGCAATACACACGTACATGCACTGCAATACACACGTACATGCACTGCAATACACACGTACATGCACTGCAATACACACGTACATGCACTGCAATACATACGTACATGCACTGCAATACACACGTACATGCACTGCAATACACACGTACATGCACTGCAATACACACGTACATGCACTGCAATACACACGTACATACACTGCAATACACACGTACATACACTACAATACACACGTACATGCACTGCAATACCCACGTACATGCACTACAATACACACGTACATACACTACAATACACACGTACATATACTACAATACACACGTACATGCACTACAATACACACGTACATGCACTGCAATACACACGTACATGCACTGCAATACACACGTACATGCACTGCAATACACACGTACATGCACTGCAATACACACGTACATGCACTGCAATACACACGTACATGCACTGCAATACACACGTACATGCACTGCAATACACACGTACATACACTGCAATACACACGTACATACACTGCAATACACACGTACATGCACTGCAATACAACGTACATGCACTGCAATACACACGTACATACACTACAATACACACGTACATGCACTGCAATACCCACGTACATACACTACAATACACACGTACATGCACTGCAATACACACGTTCATGCACTGCAATACATACGTACATGCACTTTAATACACACGTACATGCACTACAATACACACGTACATGCACTGCAATACACACGTACATGCACTGCAATACACACGTACATGCACTGCAATACACACGTACAAACACTACAATACACACGTACATACACTACAATACAAACGTACATACACTACAATACACACGTACATACACTACAATGCACACGTACATACACTACAATACACACGTACATACACTACAATACACACGTACATACACTGCAATACCCACGTACAAACACTACAATACACACGTACATACACTACAATACACACGTACATACACTACAATACACACGTACATGCACTGCAATACACACGTACATACACTGCAATACACACATACATGCACTGCAATACACACGTACATGCACTGCAATACACACGTACATGCACTGCAATACACACGTACATGCACTGCAATACACACGTACATGCACTGCAATACGCACGTACATACACTACAATACACACGTACATGCACTGCAATACCCACGTACATACACTACAATACACACGTACATGCACTGCAATACACACGTTCATGCACTGCAATACATACGTACATGCACTGAAATACACACGTACATACACTACAATTCACACGTACATGCACTGCAATACACACATACATGCACTGCAATACACACATACATGCACTGCAATACACACGTACATACACTACAATACACACGTACATACACTACAATACACACGTACATACACTACAATACACACGTACATGCGCTGCAATACACACGTACATGCACTGCAATACACACGTACATGCACTGCAATACACACGGACATACACTGCAATACACACGTACATGCACTGCAATACACACGCACATGCACTGCAATACACACGTACATGCACTACAATTCACACGTACATGCACTGCAATACACACATACATATACTACAATACACACGTACATGCACTGCGATACACACGTATATGCACTGCAATACACACGTACATGCACTGCAATACACACGTACATGCACTGCAATACACACGTACATGCACTGCAATGCACACGTACATGCACTGCAATACACACGTACATGCACTGCAATACACACGTACATACACTGCAATACACACGTACATGCACTGCAATACACACGTACATGCACTGCAATACACACGTACATGCACTGCAATACACACGTACATGCACTGCAATACACACGTACATGCACTGCAATACGCACGTACATGCACTGCAATACACACGTACATGCACTGCAATACACACATACATGCACTGCAATACACACGTACATGCACTGCAATACACACGTACATACACTACAATACACACGTACATGCACTGCAATACCCACGTACATACACTACAATACACACGAACATGCACTGCAATACACACGTTCATGCACTGCAATACATACGTACATGCACTGCAATACACACGTACATACACTACAATTCACACGTACATGCACTGCAATACACACATACATGCACTGCAATACACACATACATGCACTGCAATACACACGTACATAC